CCCCTCCTTCAATATCCTCCTCGGCGCATTCGCAGAGTAAATATCCCCCACACCACTGATATACGCCTTCAACACGCCCGTCCTCACAAACAGCTGCACCATCTCATCATCGTTAGGTCGATCCAGTCTTATAAACGTCGGGTTCTCGTCGTCTGAGCGATCAGGCGATGCGCTTCGTGGTTCGGGTCTTCGTGATTTACTGCAGAAGGTACTGTATGCCCAGAGCGTCAGGGTCGCCCAGAATACGCAGGGCGGTTCGTAGAATGTCATTTTTGCGTAGCGCCGGACGTGCCAGAGGAAACAGCCGCAGTGGAGCGCTGCGAGACGAGCTTTGGACTGCAATATCGTTAGCATCTCACCAATCTTGTACATAAAAGAGCTTACGCCATCTTGCTGGGCCCATTCGGATATCTCTCGTTCCGCCTGCAGCGCCTCCTTCTGACTCGCAGCCTCCTTCCTCAAATCCTCCGGCGCCTTCAGATACTTCGCCAGCGTGATTATCGCCCTCTTCGGGACGAGCAATACAACACGCGAAAAGTGCAGATGCAGAACCGTAGGGTGCTCAGCGCCAAGTAACGACGCTATAGTAGCATTAGCAGCCCAATGGAGCGTATCAACGCAATCGAGAGCAGCGTTTCGCCAGTTCGAGTCTGAGAGCTGAAGGTGTTGAGTTTCGCCGCTGCGAGGCTCAGGGTTGTTTTGGGGGATCCATGATGAAAGAGGGCGTTTGCAGTATGTGCTGACGGTGGTGTATTCTTGGTACACTGCGTGAAGGAGCAGGATGCGGGAGAATTCGCCGAGGTCGGGTTTGGCTGTTCGTTCGCGGAAGAGTGAGCTGATGGCGACTTCGAGGGTTGGGTTTACTTGTAACACGTAAGTATGACTCTTTGGGCAGGGAACAGTGTAGCTTACCTTCGGCGCGGCGATAAAGTTGTATCCAATCTGATGAGGTCGCTTGTGACCAAAGACCATCGTGCGGCAACGTCAAGTCCGCGACGTTGAATGTACCTGTCTGGTGGTCATCAAAGAAGTACCGTCCCATACGATCCAATAGCTTCTGTGTATCAGTTTCGACACTGGTAAAAGCAAAACAGAATAAACTCACCCAAATGAAGTAGCACAGTCGACGCCAAGTCTCATCTTCAACCCATCCTCGCCACATATCTTCCTCTCCCTCACCACTACCCAATAAATCTCCTCTCGATCCAGGTTGGCAACGATATCTCGTGATGACCCTCTGCAGACTCCCCATCCTCTCGTAAGCAGTCTTCTGGAGTTCACTGCCACCAGAGTACAGCAGACCAACTTGACTCAGCACAAGAGCCTGAGCCAACGGCAGACTGAGATCCGATCCTTCCAGTTGAGTAACCAAAGTCCTTCTCAGAAATTCGTGGAATGGTACGACGCAGGCATGGATATCCGCTGTAGCTGTGTACTGACTTCCGATGGCACAGATCGCCAGAGCAAGAACCCAATTCCCATTCAGGTCTGTTGTATGAGGTTGAACAAGGGGAACAATCGGGTCGAAGTGTTCAAAAAAGAGCTTGACGAAGTATTCAAGTAGCTTCAACGATGGAAAGTCGGCGGAGGTGTAGTGCGGATGAAACATGGATGATTCAAGGCACGTTTGCCTAAAAGCGTCGCAGATCTTGTTGTACGTCAACTCTGTCATGAACGACTCTCGGTACGCTTCATCCTCCAGGATAATATGGCTCAGATCCGGGAACGCAAGCGTCTTAGCTGTGAGGCTTGAGTCTTGAGAAATGGTAGGTTGCTGTGTATATCCTTGAAGGCCTGGCGGAGGGAATAGCTGTTTTGACTTGGCAGTACAAGGACGTCGGGCGCCGTTTGAGCTCGTGGCGTATAGATCTCCAGGTACGGTGCGTCCAGAGCTCATGCTCAACTGTGGCGAAACACCCAAGCCGCTCCCCGGCGAAAGCGATGTTACGGCTGATAAACGGCGCGGCGGAGCATCGATCATGGGAAAGTTGGGTACTGGCGGATCTATCATGTTTGCATTACCGGCATCAAGCGGCTGATTCATGTCAAGGCCTAGGATCGAGTAGTAGTTTGTCTCAATCTCATTGTCGTACGGTAACCAATTGATGGGGAAGTCCCAGTCGATATCGTAGGTGGACAGATCATATTCAAAGCCCGGTTGCTGCTCATTACCAGCGCTGTCGATGAAAGAGCTGTCCTGTGAATGCGGTGTTTGATGTGAAGGTAGCGGGAGTTGTAGATCTGATTGTACCTGCTGAGGCTGGGACGCGTGATCTACTGTCTCGACTGGGCTGATGAGAGTATGGTTCGGAGTTTGCGCGACGGCACCAGTCTGTGATGTAGGAGATGCTTCGACTGTTTTGTTTCTGGTCTGGGGATAAGCGCAGTCCAATGCCTTGGTCGAGCAGCGCAGGCACGGGAGGTTTCTCGAGCATTTCTCGCGAGCCCTAGCGCACTCCAAACACGCTCTGCGCCGCCCAACATCGCGTCTTGACATGGCGGACGGATGATCGTGGATAGCTACATGCTTCGTCAAGATATCACTTCCATCATATCAGTACCTCTTCCATCAAACTACTCCGCGCCGCTTACCTTCGCGTAAAGCTCTTGTGACAGACATCACATTCAAAGCCTCTCAAGCTATCGTGACCTTTTTGGTGTCGCTTTAGATGCTCCGGTCGCTTGAAACTTCTGGTACACTGTGAACATTGGTACTTCTCCATTGCGAACAAGGTTTCGGGCGCTTTTAAGCTTGTTGAAGCGTGATTGATGTTGTTTTGTGAAGGTGATTTGACGCAGAGCGAGGTCGGGGACGTCCCCACTCGCGAACGGACATATCAGGCTAGAGTTGGTCTAGAGTCTGGAGTCTGGGGTAAAAGTCACATCGCATGATCAAACTAGGCGCGCCAATCCTGTGAAACCATGGAGTGATCCGCTTCATTGGATTGAATTGACGTCAGGTTTGTCAACACATTGGGCTAAAGTTTGAAACGCAATGGCAGCAATACTTTGTTCTCGTTATTAGTTTTAAGGCAATGTATCTTACGGTTCTGTGACGACCAGCTATTAAATTTCCCGACATGTTCAAATCAACTCCACCAAGTTGGTCTTGTCAATACAAAACGCAAGACCTCGGATAACATACCCCCGAGAGATGAAAGATCATCACGAGAGAAGGCTTTTCGCCGCTTTAAATTTATCTAACCAGACCTCTTTCGGGCATTGGGCGACTGCTCAATCCACTCTCATGAGCACTTGACCGTTTCCCCTCTTTGAGGTTGTTCCCCGGTGGGAGCTCCGGTGGGATGTCCCGGCCGCCCACCATGAACCAATGACATGCACCAATTGTCGACAATCGTCACGATGAGCCGCATACCATTGTTAATACCAGTATATCATGTCAAACCAGAATCATTTCTGACATTCAACTCCGCCATCTTCACCTCAACATACCGCCAACATGTCTCATCCCCAATCCATCTTCCCCCATACCACCATAACACCAGGCTCCCTCCTCCACCGTCGCAGAGCCACGGTCTCAAAGACAACACTGCGCACACAGCTCAAGCGCCTTCGCGAGACAGGCCGCTACGATTGCTTCAAGCTGCAATGGCATGAGATCTACGCGGACAAGTCCATGTGGCCTGTTCCCTTCCATCTCTTCTGGGACAGCGACATAGCGAAGTGGATCGAAGGCGCTTGTTATTTTCTCCATGATGAGGTTGATGCCGAGATTGACGCTGCGGTGAGAGAGTTGGTTGAGATGATTCGAGGGGCGCAGCAGGATGATGGGTATTTGAATGTCCATTATACTGTTGTTGAGCCGGGGAAGCGGTGGACGAATTTGCAGGACATGCATGAGTTGTAAGTCAAAGAGCCGCATTCTTGTGTTTTTATACTCATTTTTTAGATACAACGCTGGTCATCTCATTGAAGCAGCTCTCGCCCATCACCAGTACTACAAGAACAACCTTCTTTTGGAGCCGATTGAGAAATACGTCGCCTTGATTCACAGCACTTTCGGACCGGGCGAGGACCAACGGCACGGATACCCTGGGCATCCCGAGATCGAGTTGGCGCTGTTCCGCTTATACGAAGTCACCGGCAACAAGAACGCTTACGACCTATCCCGATACTTCATCGAAGAACGAGGTAACCACAAAGGCCAACACGGACAGCACTATTTCGAATGGGAGTCCAAGCAACGTGGCCAGAGTCTCTATCACCGCCCTGATTCGTACCCCGAACACGCATCTCATTGGTACTGCCAGGCTCACCAACCCATTCTGGAGCAACCAACCGTCGAGGGTCATTCCGTACGTGCAATGTATCTCCTCACCGCTGTAGCCGACATGCTCTGCATCGATAAATTCAGCTCCCAACGACTCTCCTCCTCATCAACCTGGAAAGACGCCGTATACCGCCTCTGGGACAACATGGTCACCAAGAAAATGTATCTCACCGGCGGCATCGGCGCCATAAAGCAGTGGGAAGGTTTCGGACGCGACTATTTCCTCCCCCAATCCACCGACGAAGGCGGTTGCTACGCTGAGACCTGTGCGTCCATCGCTGTCATGATGCTTGCCGAGCGACTGCTGCATATCGAGCTAGACGCCAAGTTTGGTGATGTCATGGAACTTTGTTTGTATAACAATGTCATGACGGCGATGAGTCTCGATGGCAAGGCGTTTACGTATGTCAATCAGCTGGGAAGCTCGGAGAGCGATAAGAGTGTGAGGGAGGAGTGGTTTTGGTGCGCGTGCTGTCCACCGAATGTGACGCGTTTGTACGGGTCGTTGGGGGGGTATCTTTGGGACTTTGGGGAGGAGAAAGAGAAAGAGATGTTTGTGAATGTACATTTGTATACGAATGCTGAGTTGAAGTTTGGGGTTGGGGAGGGAGAGGTTGTTCTTCGGCAAGAGACGGATTGGCCGTGGGATGGACTCGTCAAGTTTCGACTTACGAGTCCCGCGTCGGTGAACACCATGATACGACTCAGGATCCCAGGCTGGTCTCAAAATCAGTATACGCTGGACCCGAAGCCTAGTGCGGGTAGTGTCGACTTGCACAAGGGCTATCTCACGCTCGATCCAGCTTATACGGCCGCTCATCCCGTCTTCTCACTGACTATCGGCAACTTCGCCCCCCGATACATCGCTCCGCACCCGTACACGAACCAAAACACTCTGACACTTGCTCGAGGGCCGCTAGTGTACTGTATCGAGGATGCAGATAATACATGGGAAGACAATCACTTCAAGGACGTTGGGCTCAAGGCGGGTAGTGCGGTTAAGGAGGAGAGGTTGTGTATCAGTGGGACGGATGAGGAGTATATCGCTTTGAGGACTTCGTGCTGGAGACGCAGTGGGAAGTTAGATGCCGCGGTGTCTACACCAGGTTTCGTTGTTCAGGGAACGGGTTCTGGGTTCGATGATGAGAGGGAGGGTGTCTTTGTGCCGTATTACATTAGGGCTAACAGAGGGGGCAACGGGCATATGAGAGTTGGGCTGCAGCATGTACAGGGCTAGCCCATCTCTGAGCAAGAACATAGAAAACATATATGAAGATCAGTTAGACTTGTTACGTTCTCGATTACACTCCTAGGCCATCCTCTACAAGTATCATATGTAGAAGTTGAGGCTAGAGTTGTAAGACAAGTGCCAGAGCGCTATGAACATCTTGGACATGATGTTCAATGAATCCCAGTCGGGCTACTCGACATAGTGTCTGTACTTCTCGTCCCTAAGCACAATCCTACACGGAAACGGTTTCACACGAGAAATAACACCCGGCAACTGCTCATACCCAACCTCAATCTCCCTCCCCTCCCCATCCACCCTCTTCTCAATCCCAAAAACCGCCAACGTCTGCGCAATACTCAAAAACAGAGTCTGATCCGCGACCCAGCGTCCCGGACATGCTCTCCTCCCAAACCCAAACACTAGATCTGCCGGTGACGGCTCATTATACGGCTCGAAATACCGTTCTGGCTTGAACTCCATCGGAACATGGTAGACTTCAGGATCATGCGTGAGAGACGCTACCGCTGGGAAGAGGAGAGTGTTTTTGGGGATGAAGTACCCGCGGTATGTATCGTCTTCAGTCGTCATGTGCGGGAAGCCCATTGGGGCGAGGGTGTGCCAGCGGAGGACTTCTTGGGCGATGGCGGTGATGTATGGAAGGTTTGACTTGTCGGTAAAGGAGGGGAGGCGCGAGTCTTCGGTGACACGGGAGATTTCTTCTTGAGCTTTCTTTTGGACGTTGGGGTTGAGGAGCATGGCTGCAAAGAAGGCAAGGAGTGTCGCGCCGGTGGTGTCGGTTCCTGCATTCATCATCGACGCTGCAGTCCAAGCGATGACGCTTTCTTCCTCGGGATCTATTTTGCGTTGAGGGTCCTGGATGAGACCTGCTACGTAGGAAACATCATCCTTGCCGTTAGTCATCTGATCTTGGACGTATTGGTAAGGATCTTGGACGTTTTGATGGAGATGCTGCCTGAACAGTTTGGCAGTCTTCTTGAAACCAGCGCCGGGCATCCACTCTGGGATATGTCGAAGCCATGGGATAAAGTCCACCAGCCAAGCACCTGGAGCGGTAGCTTGAGAAAACTCTTCCATCACGAGATTAGCCATGCTGACGATGTGATCATTTCTCTTGGGATCTGTCTCGTAGTTGTAAAGAATTCGGAGCATGATGGAGCCTGACACCCTGTAGCATAGTGAGTATCTACTTCTGAAGTAGTGAGGAAGACCTACTGGTTCAGATGATCCGGAAGATTCTGACTGTTGGGATCTTGATGGAGTTTCTTCAACAGTCTGAGGATCTCTAGCTCTTGGATGGGCTCGAATCGGGTGATGGATTTGGGGCTGACTTGGGTGGCTGTGAGTTTGCGATGCAGTCGAAAGGTTCGGTTGTACGGCATCAGGCCCATGACACCGTCGTATCCAACACTGCAACAGCTCGTTAGCATAAGAGATACGACAGTAGATGTGTATCTTACATGTCCCCAGCAAAGACCAGCTTGGGGCGTGAAGCACTCTTCATCGCTCGCGTCTCCAGAAGATCCATGATGACCTGTCTGTCATGCAAAATGACAAAATTCTGTCCCAGCACAGAGACTGAAGTTATCGGACCGTATTTCTCTTTGTGACTCTGCCAGTGAGGCCATTCTAGTGTTCCGGGTGGTGGGAGATCACGGATGTTGCCCAAAAGTGGTAGGCCTTTGGGACCAGGTGGCAAGGGAGGTTTCTGGGGTCGTAGTGTATGCTTGAGGAGAAGAAAGGATAGTGATGCCAGAATGGCTGTGACTATGACAATAGAGGCAGACATATCGAAGGATGGAGTAAGAAATCGTATGATAGAGTGCTTTCGTAGAGGGCAACACAAAGTATTTATTGTCCCCGGGTGTAGAATAACCTTTTAAGTTTAATGGGCCAACCTCCCTTTGCGCTACTGTTTGGACTAGAGACACCCCGTCTGACATGGATCACTAGTCTTGAGCATATTTCCGTGCCTCCTCCATGCCCTCAGGGAGCGAGAAAACAGCGAAGCTTAGTACAGTGTGTCAAAATAAACTCAGTAA